AGAAGACACCTACAGTAAACATTGAGCCAAACTCCTGGAATCTAGTTACAGATAGATAGGAGTGATGAGCAAATAAGTCAAGACCAGGCAGGAGAAACTCACAGAAATAGCTGAACCGAACAAGTGGGATCTCATGGACCATAGACTGGTAGCTTGGGAAACCAGCATAGGAATGATCCAGGCCACCTGAACATGGGTGTCAGTTAGGAGGCCTAGACAAACTATGAGGCCTGTGGTAGTGGATTAGAATTCATCCCTAGTGTATGAATGGACTTTGGGAGCTCAGTCTCGACACACACACACACACACACACACACACACACACACACACGGTAAGAAACTCAAAAACAAGACCTCTACTGCCTGAGCAGAGGCACCTCACCAGCCTCTGGCTAAAGGAAACTGTTATTAGCCATGTGTGGCTCACAGCTACTCTCTACAGAGGCATGCCTTACAGATGGCTTCAGCTTTGCCTCACATCCCGTATTAAAAGAAAATCCAAGTGTTGCAAGTGGCTTGTGCTTTCTAAATGAACTTTCTTTTAGGAAAAGAAGGAAGTTGGGACTTGAAACTGGAATTGTTCCTGAAAATTTTGGGATGCGTGAACAAGACACTTATTCTGTGACCAAGGGGATTCTTGGCCAAATGACAGCTCTCCAAAAGGACCTCCATTGAGGGGGTCTTGTTGCTGGAATAAGAGCCTCTAAATTCCAAAAGTAAACAGACTCTAGCAGGGTCTCCATGCCTGAGGAGTCCCATATGATGGGAAAGGGAGTCTCTGAGTTATAAAGTGGAAGAGAGAAAAATTAAGAACAAGGGAGATAAGAAAGGGAAGGAGAAAGAATGTGGGCCAAGAAAGGTGACAGGAAACAAGAGAAAAGCAGGTGGCTTCATAAATGCATACAACGTATTTTGATCATATTCACTCCTCATTCCTCCCAAGTCTTCCTCCCACCCATCCACCCCATCTCACTTCATGCCCCTTTTAAATTTATATCCTACTGGGTCCAAGTAGTGCTGCCATGTGAAGCGCCCCAGGGAGACACCTGCTGATTTACCTTGACCACCTTACATCTGGATGGGTAGGACATGACAAACCACCAACCAACCTGGGCAGCCAAACATCTGAAAGATAACTTTGGTATACTCACTGTCCCATGACATCCCTGGACCCTGCTCAGCTGGCCATGTTCCCACTGCCCATATGAAGAAAACAAAGCTTGTCCTAAGAGGCAAGCATCAGAGAAGTCTGATTGTGATGTGTGGCCCACCCTACACTCTCAGGTTGCTCTGTGGACATGTGCCAACTTGGCTTCTGATATAGTAGTCATATTTTTTATTTTTCCAAGTCTCGACAAAAGCAGGCTTGTCTGGGATCCTGCAAAGCACAACACTTCTTCTCACCAAGGTTGATTCAATGTTTAGGGTCAAGATTAAGTGCAAAGAAAGCTTAGGCCTTTTGCTCAGGGAAGCAGATCTGACCGTTAGAAATGCTTAGAAATTGTGGGGAAAAAAATCAAAGTACAAAACAGCTTAGTCAGCCCCAGGAAACTGTTACCTGGCAGGTCCCTGCCATGCACAGCTCGAAATACAGAAAGCATCTGGTCTTGTCTACACAGCTCCCCCTTGTAAAGATTGTGTTCACTTAAGAACATTCCACTTTCATGCATTCAACAAGCATCGTGGCACTCCTCCTGTGTAGGCAGAAAGTCCCTTAGTTACTGACTTTTTAGCTTTAAATGTTGCAGCAGATCAAGAGGAAATAAACAGAAGAAGATGAAATGAATGTCACAGCTTAGTGTTGTCTTGAAATAAGTGACTCTGCCCCATCCCTGGGAAACCTCTATATCCAGGCAGTGAACTTGAAAGCAACAGGGAACCCCTGCCCAATATCCACTCCCTGACGCAACCATATACCCTCCTCCACACACAAGCACTTGCCAACTCAAGTCTGAAACCACTGCTGTGTAGACACAGCTCTTGCTCCCATCTACAAATGGGGATAGAAACTCAGAGCTCCCATATCACCCTACCCAGAAGGCCAGTGTCTCCACAGTGTTGGGGGAGTCCTATCCCTCATCCCTCATATCTGCTCACCCCTCAATGTTGCTGTATTTTCTTGTCCCTCCTGGTCCCACCACCCTTGAGCCCCAAATAAGCACATGGACGATATATTAATTATAAAACTGTTGGCCAATGGCTTGGGCTTCTTATTGGCTAGCTCTGTCTTAATTATCAACTCATTTCTATTAATCTATGTATTTCCACGTGGTCTTATTTTACTGAAGAATTCCTGGTACGTCCTTTCTTCCCAGTCCTTACATGGCGACTGTTTTACGGTCTTTCTCTGCCTACCTTTCCCAGAATTTTCGTTTCCTCATCTCGCCTATCTTCTTGCCTCATTGGCCAAACAGTGTTTTATTCATCAACCAATAAGAGAAACATCTATACAGAAGGACATCCCCCATCACCTCAAGTAAAGGACACAGGAGGACAAAGAGCTCTGAAAAGGAAAACCAAGGCACTCCTCCTTGAGGCAGCTCTAGAGGCAGGCAATTGGGTAGGGGCTACAGAGTCCCCTCCTGTTGGACTTCCCATTCCCCCAACATTCACTGGGGTCTGTACCTGGATCTGAAGTCACTGATGCTCTGCTCTGATGGGCTGTCGCTGTCATTAAAGAGCCCAGTCCAATTGGCCTGCTGGTCGCCCCTCTGCCAAGCAAACTGGAAGCCTCTGGCAAGAAAATGAGTCAATCGATATACACACTCACATGTTAGGTCAGGCCTGTCTAAGAGCCACATTCTGTCGTTACAACCATGGGACACAATTAGGTGCTTATACACCAGAAGGAGAAGATGGTGATAATTCCATCCGTGGGGATGATGGTGGAAAGCCATGGCTGTCTGTGTCCTCCTTATTCTCTTGCATCCTTCTCTTACGCCATTTTTTCCACATTTTACATGCAGGGAAACTGAAGCTTACTGATACTAAAATCACAGGGCTCTTCTACCTCCTATCTGGTACCCTAAAAGAATTCTATCACCAGCACTGTGCCAGACACAACTTCAAAGATTTTAATCCACCAAATGAGGATTCCACTTCTGGTTTAAGAGGAGAGACTTTGCATATTCATATCCCGTCCCTCCCCAACCCTGGGGACGATGGCAGCAAAGCAATGAGTCAGAACATGAGAATGGAGAGGAGGTGACAGAAGGGACCAGAAACATTACTGAAAGACAGGCAGCAAGCAGATGAGCAACTGACACAGGCCAGTGAGAACAGCATCCTGATGGCCTACAAGGAGTAGATCCATTCTCAGGACCCAGAATGGAGAGGGCCAGGGCATAAAGGTGAGCATGAGAGGTGGTAACCAAAGCAACAGGACTGGGTTAAGTTTATAAAAGGAGCATTTAGGCTCCCTCCCCTACACGTGTATTCATACAAACCCTCAGATACCAGGTCCCCTGCCCACAGACCCCACAGACAGCGTAGACTTCTCCTGGGGAAGCTGGTTCATGGAGTGATACTGTACCCAAAGCTGCCAGTGCTCAAGAGCCTGCCTGGGTGCTCTATAACCCTGGTGAAGCACTGCCTGACCCAAACCTCTGACCTAGTGAGGAGTATGGCTGTAATGAGGGAAGACTGGCCACATTTTTTTTAAGGCTAAAAAGAAAACGGAGTGCCCTCTCAAGTACCTTGGGACAAGCTTTCTCCAGACAGTACTGTGTATACCTGGGGCTGGAGAACCCTTTGTCTTATGCTGCATAGGGTGATGAATGATGTCCCCAAATCTGTCAGCTGCATTCTATAAATTCTAAATTCTATACAACAATGCATAGAATTTCCAAAACCCTCTAGCAACTGCCTGGCCCTTACATTCGAGGAAACTAGTGACCAATTTGGTGAAGAAAACTTGAATTCCAAAGTCTGAAATTCCTAAGACGGAAGGAAAGTGGGAGCTCCAGGCAGGGGGAAGAGGAGACAAATGAAAAAATTGGGGAAAATAGTTAACAAAATTATTAATAAGTAACCTCTTTATTAAGGAATGGGGACAGCAGATGGTTTTGGGAGCCATTCCATCCATACCCCTCCAATTGGCTGATGCCCTCAGTCAATTCTCTGTACTTCTTGTGGTCTTTGTTCCCATAATTCAAATGAAGAAACAGTCTAGGATGTCTCTGGGGTCCTTCAGGGAAAGTGTCATAGAGGCGAGCCATCTGCTCTTGTACCAGTCAACTGGCTGAGGTCCTTTTGCTCATATAGAAATTGCCAGAAGTCAAGGAATAGTGTTTCAGAATTGGTAGGCCTGGGCGCTTGAGCACCGAAGGCTTGGGAGCCTGGGATGGCAGATTCAGATGCTTGTAGCTGGTAAGTCCTGAGACAAGAGGCTACAGAAGATGAAGGGTTACAGTTCTGGGTATTCCAGTTGTAGGCTAACTGCTCTGGACCTTGACCAGCAGCATCTCAGCACTTGTCAAGTAGCATCGATCGGGTTAGTAGCAGCTGCTGTAATAGCACTCAGCACCCTCCTATGCCACAGTCCCCAAGGCACTGGAACCCTTGACCCTCAACAGCACCTGTAAAGTTCTCAAGTCTTATATGCCAAGACCCTTGGGCCTATAGTCCTTGGAAGTTCTCTGGAATCTTCCAGTAACTGGAACCCGTCTGCTGTAAAGCCTTCACAGTCTTCTGCTTGCTTCTCATCTTCTCTGTCTCTAAGGCTTCACCACCGCTGACTATCTCTGCTCCCTGAAGGAACTGCTCCAGCTCATCCTTGAACTCTTCAGCCACCTTCTTGCGGCTACTGCTACTGCCAAAGCTGCTGCTCCAACTGCCATCATTACCACAGCCACAACTCTACTCCTCACACTATCAATTCGGCCTGTCCTACCCAGGACAAAGACCACAAATAAGCAAGAAAAGGCCGCTTAGGAGACTCCTTTTATTGGAACAAATGGTGCAACACAAGAAGGCAGAACACAGAAGACTCTCTCACTGACTCAAAGTGTAGGGCACAGCCTAGTCATATTGCCTCACTCAGAAGGGGTGTGGCATGCAAATATGGGATTGTACTTTACACTAATAACAGCACACCTTCCAGTTTCCCCCAGACCAATCACAGTCCTTCCTAAGAACTAATCACAAGTCACATATAGTTCAGCAGGTATCTGCCAACCACAGTCTTTTTGCTGAGTCACTGGGGGTGCACTATTCCTCATTCTACTTGTTGAAGGTTAGGGCAGAACTCTGCAGGGACTGGGATTTCTGGAACAACTTCAAGGTTGGTCATTTGGAAATTATGGAGGCCTAGAATGACCAGAATGAAGTTTTCCAGTGCTGGCATTGACTGGAGTAGTTACAAGTGGAACAAGGCTTCCTGAACAGCCACAGCCACCAGCCATGGCTGAAAGCGTTGCTTGTAGGAGGAGGGGAGTTTCTTCAAGGTGTCCATTAAGCATTCAAAGCCACCAGGCTGACAACCCAGTGGGTCACCTGAAGAGGAGCTTGAGCTGACTGCTCCCTGCTCAAGGTGACAGAGCATAAGGGAAGAGTCCATCAATTGCCAACCAAGGGGGATAAATGACTGACTTCCCACAATTTCCTCATTCACAAGGGGAAAAAAATTAAAGCACACTCACAATAAAAACCTAGGAAATACATACTATTTTCAGTATAGCAGTACTAAACACCCAGCTATAAACCCCTACTTCTTACTACAGTGCCTACCATCTCCCTCCTTGGGAGTCATGCTCTCCTGCCACAAGCATGCTGACCCACCTTCTAGCCAATTCTAGGCTTTTGGGACCCTACTAAGGATAGCTGCATCCATGATGTACTCTAGTCATGCTTTGCTGAATGGCTGTTGCTACTTTTCACCCTCTCCAGTCTCCACAGCAGAGATCGCTTAGCCCAGAAGAGGAACAGATACAGCCCTGAAGCCAAGACAGAAGAACACCCATCTAGTTACCAGGCTATTTGGAAAAGACAGCAATCCACTGTGGTCCACTTCTACAGTTGTACATCGATATGTTTGTTAAACTTTAAGAAACCAGTGTGGATCTCTGCATCTGCTTCCACCAGTTACTGGATGAAGGTTCAATGATGACAATTAAGGTAGTCATCAATCTGATTATAGAGAAAGGCCAATTCAGGCAGCCTCTCTGCTATTGCTTAGAGTCTTAGTTGGGGTCATCTTTGTGGATTCCTGAGAATTTCCCTAGTGCCAGGTTTCTTGCTAACCTCATAATGGCTCCCTTTATTAAAGTTTGTTTCCTGATCAGCCTTTTGCTGCGCCTCTCTCTCTCTCTCTCTCTCTCTCTCTCTCTCTCTCTCTCTCCCTGTCCTTCCCCCAACTTGACCATCCCATTCCCTCATGTTCCCGTCCCTCTGCCCTTCTCCCCTCCCTATCTCCTTCCCCCTTCCCCCTTCCCCCATGCTCCTTCCCCTTGGGAGAGGGTCCATATGTATTTGTCTTTCTGGGTCTGGGTTACCTTACTCAGGATGACTTTTTCTAGTTCCAACTATTTACCTGCAAATTTCAAGATGTCATTATTTTTACTGCTGAGTAGTACTCCATTATATAAACTGCTCTCTCAATGTCTTCCTTGTTACCTAGCCTCTCTGGGTCTGTGGGCTGTAGGCAGGTTATTCTTTGCTTTATGTCTATTATCCACTTATGAGTGAGTACATATCATGTTTGTCTTTCTGGGTCTGGGTTACCTTACTCAGGATGACTTTTTCTAGTTCCAACTATTTACCTGCAAATTTCAAGATGTCATATTTTTTCTTGCTGAGTAGAATTCCATTAAATAAACTTACTACATTTTCTTTATCCATTCTTTGGTTGAGGGGCATCTATGTTGTTTCTGGCTATTACAAATAATGCTGCTATGAACATAATTGTGTAAATGTCCTTGTTACAGTATGAGTGTTCATCCTTTAGGTGTATACCCAAGAGTGGTATTGCTGTGTCTTGAGGTAGATTGATGGCCAATTTTCTAGAAACCACCATGCTAAGCCCTGGGTCGAGCTCCAGTCGAAGAGAGGGAGGAGAGATGATATGAACAAAGGAGTCAAGACCATGATGGGAAACCCACAGAAACAGCCAACCAGAGCTAGTATGAGCTCACTGACTCCAGACTGGCAGCCTGGGAACCTGCATAAGACTAAACTGGACCCCCTGAATGTGGGTAACACTTAGGTGGCTTGGGCAGTTTGTGGGGCCACTGGCAGTGAGAACCCTCACAGTGACACACTTCCTCTAACAAGGCCACACCCACTTCAACAAAGCTACATCTCCTAATAGTGCCACTCCCTATAAGGGCCATTTTCTTTCAAACCACCACAGTGTGGCGCGTCCCACTTTTATAAGGTTTTCGACCTCAAGCTGGTTATCTCTGTATGTGGCACTAATGTTTATTCTTCTTTTAGGCTAATAACATTATCTGATCTATGAAAAAATTGAATATACTATTTCCAAAGCTACTTGTTACATTGTTTAAATTTCATCCCTGAGCTAAGAATAGAAACTGTCTTTATTGCCCAATTCAACCATCATGAGAAAGGTTTACTTAATGTGAAACAGGATAACACAGGGAAGAGAAATTTTCTTCATGCCTTCCATGAAATAGCAAACATTTCTGAAGCCTCTGGGAGGAGTAATGGGGAGCACGTTCTTATGTTTGTTATCATGAAGGTGAGGTGGCAAGCTAATTCATATGAAAATCTCAAAA